CACATACTTTTCTCATTCAAAAACCAATATAAAAATCTAGACTAAATCAAAAGAGCGAGAAAAATGTGTTTCATATCATAAATAACAGCAATTACTTAACAGATAATAAAAGTAAGATTTCATTTGAGTTGTGTTTTGCTTTCACTTATAGTATGAATAAATGTCTCGAAAAGGAGCTCAATATTTGTCTAAATATTTATTTAATAAAATAACTCTTAATTTTCCACATATAATAAGGTATATGTTTTGTTATATATTGGCACCAAATTAAAGCTAGTTTTGCGCGAAATGTAAACCAAATACGGGTATAAAAAGATGTCCCTCATATTGGACACAAATTATCGAGATTACAACAATATGATGGCATCACCATGATGAGTTTAAACAAATGGTCATTTGTAAGTTTACAATGAAATACAGTATTTTACACACAGACTCTCAATGGCATCAAAACTCAAACCAAATACAAGTTAAATCTAAATTGATTTATAAGACATATAGTCATACCCGTTGTGGCCATCAAATTGTGTGGCCTTTTCCCGCAATACTAACTCAAATATAGTGTCAACAAAACGCAAACAATAGCTTAAAAATGTGTGTAATTTTCTATCACATGTAGTACTCAATCACTGGTTTCAGTGATACTCAACAGAACCCACCGAACGGTATACATGAAGGCCCCGAACCCAACGATCACCACAAAGTTGGCCATTGCGTTACCGAAGTATCCGTTCTCCTGATTCGCTCGCAAACCCGATCGCAAAGAGTTTCCCAATTCAGTCACTCTTCCGCTCACACTATTCATCGCTTCCAACGATTGTCTCTTTCGTAACATTTCCTTCATTTCCTATCAATTTATAAAACATATGATTGAGAAAAAACACATCATTTGAAGGCAAAACTATTTATAAGCGATTCAAACCTCGACTAAATCGGGAAACAGTTCCACAAATATCTTGTTCTTGAGATTGAACTCAAGGCTCTGTTGGGCCAATCGTTTCTTTTCGTAATCGGTGGTCTCAATGGATCCCATTGTGGGGTTCTTCTCGACCATAAACGACAGCAAACCGGTCAAAATGGTGGACACACTCCACGCCGGGTTCCAACTGTCCGGATGAAAGTCACTGATGGACAGACACAGCCGAACGCCACACTTGAACCGTCCGTTTGGTGTCAACATATAAATGGCCGGCGGTTTGAACGGGAACTCCGACGGGAACTGAAGCTTCCCGTGATATACACCGTTCACATACGGCGTCCCTTCCGGTCCGCGAACCACGTAATGCCTGTCCAATCGGATCCAAACATATGTGTCAACACGTGTTATCAATGGTAACCCATATTATGAATGAATGCAAAGTACAGACCACTCGAGGATATTGTTGTGGAGCGGATGGGCCGAGACATAGGGCACCGGATCCCTAATGATCCGCAAGTAGTCCTGTCGGAGCCGTTGGGTGGCTGTCGAGCCCCTCATCCTCTGGTGA